AAATATCTTAAGCTTATTCAGTTGCAAAGTAAAGATGCAGATTCAATTTTTAATGCTATAATTACACTTTTTGATGAGAAAGGTTTATAAAAATTTATATTTTTCTTTATATTTAACAATATTAATTAATATTTTTTTAAAAAAAAAATATAAAAATAACATCAAAAATCACTTTATTTGCATCTGATAAAGCAAGTGTAATGCTTGAAAAAAGGAATAGAGTTGCTGCAAAAATTGCTGAAAGGAATTCATATTTATTTACTATATACTGTATTGCTTATAGATTAGTATTAGCATATAATTCAGCAGAAAAAACATACCTTTTTGTAAATATGTGAAAGAAATTATGAAATTAATTTATTCTTTTTTTAGTTTTTCAAGTAAAAGACAAGAAATATTACGACAATATCAAATGGTTTTAGATCATTCTATTTTAAAAATTTAACAGATTCACGAAATAAGATGGTTATCATAGTACGAAGCAGTGAAAAATTTATGTTTAACCATTGAACTTTTAATGGATACACTATTAGAAATGTCTATTACTTCAAATAGAAATCAAAAAGAAAGCATTATTCAATTATATATTCAAATTTATGATTGGCGGTACTTTTCTTCTTATATAATATCTTAGATTATTTTAGCAATTTAAGTAAAATATTTCAACAACGACATATTCAAATTTCAAATATTGATCCAGTAATTGAAATAACGATTAATAGAATTAAATTGGAATATTTAGATTTTAATGATAATGAAAAACTATTATTTGGAGAAAATTTAAACAAATTTTTAACTGAAATATTATCAGAATCAAATGTTAGTATTGGTACTCATGAGTTAATATAGACAGAGAATTATGAATCAGATTTAATTGCTATAATTTCATTATTTTCTAAAGCAGTTATTTTAGAATTGCAAGAAAGATTTCTGAATCGACCCTTATTAAATACAATAAAATTTTTAATCAGTTAATTTGACTAGATGATAAAGAATTATTGGTTAAATATGGAGAGGATGAATTAAATATTTTGATGGAATATTATACGGCTATTATTAAAGAAGATATTTTTGATAAATGGAATAATTATAAAGCAATAGTTTATGCTAATTATAAGATAATAAAGTTGGAATTATTACTCCTAAAATTATTTAAAAATTATTCTGAAGATTTTCCAAATATACTAAAGTTATTGAGTATTATTTACTTAATTTCTTTTTCAAACGTGAAATGTGAAAGAGGTTTTTTAAGGCAAAACTTGATTAAAATGGATTTGCGAAATAATTTAAATAATGAAACTTTAAATTTGTTAATGATGATAGGATTAGATGATATAGATTTATTAGAATTTAATTTTAGTTATGCTTTAAAAATTTGGAATTTACAGTGTAAACGAAGAATTTAATTTCTTTAAATTTAATAAAGATTTATTATGATCTAGTAAATTTATTTGAAGCCAGATATTTTTCTGTTTAATTTTTAAAAAATCTGGTAAATTTTTATGTAACTGGATATTTATCTGAAAATTTTGAAATACTATTTTACACTCTAGATGAAACTTCTTAATAACAGTCAAAATTTAGATGAAACTATATTAAAATTATAATAAGGGATATGATAAAATCCTTTCAATACGACGAAAGCTGAAATTATTAAAACTATATTAAAAACATAGAAAAGGGTATGATAAAATTATTTTGAAGAGATTTTGGCAGGTATCTATATTACAATTATATACTAAAATAATCGCTCAATATCCATATCGATTAAATGCTATTAAAAAGGAATTCCTTAAAAAGAAAATTGAGAAAATGTTAAAAAAGGTATTATACAACCCTCTGAAAGTTCATGGGTCTCTCCTGTTATTATTATTCTAAAAAAAACTGGATATTTGAGAATTTGTATCGATTACCATTTTCTAAATAATATAACTATTACTGATAGTTATTCTATTCTTTACATACAAGATCAATTAGAAAGTTTTCAAATTGCTAAATATTTCACAGCTCTAGACTTTGCTAGTAGATATTGGTAAGTTGAAATAAATCTAAAAGATAGACAGAAAATTGCATTCATTACCCTTTAGAATTATATAAATTTATAATTATACCTTTCAGTTTAAAAAATGCATTAGCCACTTTTTAATATCTTATGAATAAAGTATTATATTAACTTATTAGAAACTTTTGTGCAGTATATTTAGATGATGTTATAATCTATTCTAGTATATTTCAAGATTATTGTAAACACTTATAACTAGTAATAGAAAAATTACAAAAAGTGAATCTCAAGATTAAATTGAAAAAATATTCTTTTGTTTTATACGAATTAGAATATTTAGAACATATTGTAGGAAGTAATAGTATTAAGCTAGATTCTAAAAAATTACAAACTATAAAAACCTACCTATGCTTAAAATACTAAAAGAAGTTAGAATAGTTTTAGGATTATTTTCTTATTATTGACACTTTATCCAAAACTTTGCAAAAATCACAGAACTCTTACACGATTTAACTAAAAGAACAAGAAATAAAATTAGACCAATCAACATCAGAATTTATTTAATACTTTAAAATAAAAACTAATAGAAGCCTCTTGTCTTAGCTCAACCTGACCTTAGAAAAGTTTTTATATTACAAACTGACGCTTCTGATGAAAAATTAAGTGCTATTCTTACTCAAAAAGATAATTAAGATGCTGAACATCCAATTGCTTTTGCTAGTCAAAAATTATCTGATCTAGAATTAAAATATACTACTACAGAGAAAGAATGTTTAGCCGTAAGATAAACTATTGAATATTTTGATCATTACTTATACTATAAACTATTTGAAGTAGTTATTGATCATTCCACTCTTAGATAGTTATTAATTATTAAACATCTTAAAAGACGTATAGCAAGATAGACCTAGAGCTCCAAATCAAGTCAGATTGACCTGTTTACCTGACCTGAACTGACCTGAAAATTCAGGTCAGGTTAATAGATTTTCAGGTTGATATCAAGTCAGGTCAATAGATCGATCTGACCTAATCCAATCTGATAAAAATTCAGATTAATCAATTATTCTTCTTGAATAATTTATTATTGTTAAATTAGAAATAACAAAGTTGATTAAATAAATTAATAATTGTTTATTATA